TCTTGCTCTCTTATGTTTCACTATAAATGTTATTAGTGGGAAAATTGAAAATGAATAAGGTTCATATGTTATACAATAGTATTAATTTCTTGATTTTTACAATTGTACTGTTGTTCTATAATAAAATGTCCTCATTCTTAGAAAGTACACAGTGAAGTACTTAAAAGAAAATGGACATCATATTTGCAACTTATTCTCAAATGGTTTATAAAAAATAATATGTGTAACAAAAAACCCTATAAAACTCTTAGAATATAAAATAGGAGAAAACCTAGATGACCTTGGATATGGATATTAGTCTTTTTAGATACAACACCATGAAAGAAATAATTGATAAGCTGGACTTCATTAAAATTAAAAGAACTTCTGCTCTGTGAAAGACAATATCAAGAGAATGAGAAAAGCCACAGATTGGGAGAAAATATTTGCAAAAGACACATCTGATAGAAGTCTGTTATCTAAAATATACAAAGAAATCTTAAAACTCAACAATAGGAAAACAAACAACCCAGTTAAAAATGGGCCAAAGACCTTAGCAGACAACTTACCAAAGGAGATACACAGATGGATAATAAGCATATGAAAAGATGCTCCTTATCATAAGGGAAATGCAAATTAAAACAAAAAAAATAGTTCTTTATACTTATTAGAATGGCCTGGAACATTGACAACACCAAATGCTGAAGAGGATGTAAGCAACAGGAACTCTCATTAATTGCTGGTGGGAATGCAAAATTGTACCACCACAAGACATTTTGGTGGTTTCTCACAAAATTAAACATACTTTTACCATACTATCCAGTGATCACACTTTTTGGTATTTACGCAAAAAAGTCGGAAGCATGTCTACACAAAAACTTGCACGCAGATGTTCAAAGCAGCTTTATCATACTTGCCAAAAGTTGGAAGCAACAAGGGTGTTCTTCTTTAGGTGGGTGGATAAACTGTGGTACATCCAGACAATGGAATATTATTTAGTGCTAAAAAGAAATGAGCCATCAAGCCATAAAAAGATATGGAGGAATATTAAATGCATATTAAAAAGAAATAAGTGAAAGGAGTCAATCAGAAAAGTCTACATACTATATGATTTTAAACATATGACATTCTGAAGAAAGAAAAACTATGGAGACAGTAAAAAGGTCAATGATGGCCAAGGGTTAGAGGGTAGTAGGGATGAATAGGTGGAGCACAGAGGATCTTTAGAGCAGTGAAAATACTGTTTGATACCATAATTATTAATACATATCACTATGCATTTGTCCAAACCCATAGAATGTACATCACCAAGAGTGAACCATAGTGTAAACTATGAACTTTGGGTGATTATGATGTGTCAGTGTAGGTTCATCAATTGTTACAAGTGTGCCACTCTGCTGGGAAGTGTTAACAGTGGTGAGGCTATGCGTGTGTGGGGAACAGGAGGTATATGGTACATGTCTGTACATTTCCCTCAGTTTTGCTGTGGACCTAAAACTACTCTAAAAAATTGTCTTCATAAAATAATAATAATGATACTAATAATACTAAGAAGGAGAAGGAGAAGGAGAAAAAGGAGAAAGAGGAGAAAAAGGAGACGAAAAAGGGGAAAACACAAATTCGTATAGTAAAAAGCAAAAGCAAATGTGTTAAAATTTTAACACATATAAAGGATAATCATGAGTTCTTAGTACTATTTCTACAATTTTTTGTAAGACTGAAATTATTTTAAAATACAAAGTAAATATTTTTATCTATATACCTCTTTGCCTCTAACACCCCTCACTCCGTTGCTCTGCTGACACACTGGATAAAATTCTTCAGTTTTAATCCTCATTTAATCTGTCTCAAACACCATTGACTTCATGCTCAGGAGGTGGGAATAAGAGGACATCTACTAGACACCAAGAAGTTGGGGAGCAGCTTCCATTTGTTGAGTAAAGTTTACTGTAAGACAGAGGAGCATGAGCCTTAACTCATGACCACATTTTGGAAACTTTCCAGCTTCCTTAAACTGACTCTTGGTGATATTCTGCAAGTGAACTTCTTCAATCAAATGCCGACATTAGTTATTGATGGAAAGCTATTAAATAGATCTCAGAAAAGCAGCTGGATGGACCCATATGGAACACTTGTTACAGAAGACAAGAAGAAATGCATATATTAGCCTGGGTTTTCTAGATAAATTGAAAGTGTGATACCAGATCTTTGTGAAACGAGAAGGCATTATTTATTCATTCCCTTCAACATCCCAACAAGCTTAATGAATATAGATGGTTCACCTGGACTTTGAAATGGCAAACAGCAATCGTTCTCCAACAAGATGAATGAGCACATTGCAGAGCTAGACAACTTCATTTGTCAAAAAGAGGCAACCAGCATTCACTGAAGACATCCAGAGGTTTTTTCATCATCTCCCTATATTTTCTAAGGTGAATCCAACTCTTCAATGATGTTTCAATTCTTACCATTCAAGAATTCTCTAGCACATTCTCTGATTTCAGGCTTATTACTTGGATTCCTTGGCAAATTAGTTGCAGGTTGGAGGGGAGAGAAATTACTCTTTTATGATATTTTTCAGAGGACATATCTCTGAGCTATCTGTTGCCCAACACTTATCCAAAACCTTGCCAGGATAATTGATATTTATACTAGATGGTCTGAAAATCAGTAAGATAATCCATTTCTCAATATAATCCATGCTTCATCTATACATTAAGCCAAAGAATCAGAAATCTACATTAGTTTGTAGAAAACTGCCCAGGCTTTCAAGTACTCCTTTTACTAAGTCATACACTTGTATCATGCCTGAGTGTTCCCGGGAAATGTTACAGAATCGAGATTATTAAAACCAGTATCCATTTTATTATAAAGCCATTGCCTTATACACTGCATGGTGCCTGGCTGCTATACTATATAGAGCCACAGAGGGTAGCTTTCAGAACAAATGCCAAGAATATTTTTACTTTTCTAGCGAAACTGATATGTGTTCTCTGTGTGGTCAATGGAACCCATACAACTGACGATACTTCTCTTTTGTTCTAACCACTAGAAAGCACAAAGCCAAATTTTAAGTTCAACTTTAACAACAATATAAGGGTCTATGGGGGTTGCCTGCACTGTGATCTTGTTTACGTAGTGCTCTTCTGATTTGTCTTTTTGTTGTTGCAATTTTTAATTCATTTTTTATATTTATCTAAGGGAAGAGTAGCAGAAAGGAAGGATAGAGGAAGGAGGAGTAAAGCAGGAAATGATTTGTTGAAATGGGATTAGATTGTTCAAGGAATCAGGAATTATCTATGCATCCTTTTCCCCTGCTAATGTCACTGGCAAAAAAATATTTTGACGTTTTATTAACATCACATTTTTCTTAAAGAAATAGAAAGGATTCTTTAACACAAGCTACATGGCTTGTGTTAGCCAAATAACAATAGCAGACTTTACGGGCACAAAAGAGAAAATTGAAAGCTAGATGACCAGGAGAGGGGACTTTGACCAAAGGAACAAGATAGTTGATCAGTTCTAACCAGAAGTAATTGTAAAGCTCTCCATTCTGCATACTTGAGAGACAAGTCACCGAATTGAATAAGCCTTTAACTTTCTTCCCATTTTTTTAAAATTTATTTTTATTGAGGTAACATTGGTTTATAACATTCTATAAATTTCTTGTGTGCAATATTATATTGCTACAGCTCTGGAAAGTGATACAGCAGAAGACAATGCTGCCATATAGGGTACATCTCCTTGAAGCTACCTACCTCCACCACTCAGATGTGATCTGGAATACCCCAAGTGCCTCTGACCCTATCATGCTGAGTCCTTGTCCTTCTGGGGCAATCCTTCTCTGAGATGTCCTCATAAGTTTAAATGATAGCAACAGAATCCCAGTAGAGTATAATAAAACATGGAAACATATTGGGGTAAATGAAACATTACTAGGCTCCTGAGAGACATAAAGAGAATAAATGGTATGGTTCCTTTTTTTTTTTTTTTCTTTTTTGCAGAGCCAGCATTGAGATGGGCATGAAAATCCCCACAGAATTCGAATAATATCCCTCTGCATGTAGGATTTCATGGGAACATTCCCACAGTTGTTAGGGTTCTATTCAGATTATGAACCAGCTAATAAATTAAATTTTTAAAAAGGAAAGAAGAGCCACAGTCCCTGGGTACAGTTGATTGCTACCATTTTGCAAAGGCAGCCACAGCTGCACAATGCAAAAGCCAAGAGGAGAGTTAGGCCAACAACAGTGCTATTCCCAGAGGTGTGCATTTGCTTGTTCCTTCAGCTAGTGTGTTATCTCCCTCAGACAGGAACATAAATAAATGTTGCCTCAGACAGGAACTGCAGCATCAAATATAAAACTGTGTATTTGAAATTCGTTATTTTCTGGCACAATTCTGTAAAAAAATGTCATGCTTTCAGTTGAAGCACTTCCATGTAAAGCCAATTAAGCAAGAGAAGCAACAACTGGGCTGAGATCAATAAAGGATGTTGGCTATTGTTCAGCCATGAGACAGGCTGTGCCAGTCACCATCTGTGGAAGCAAGTTAGGTTGCTGTTTTCAATAAAGGTTGTCAGGACCTGCTGGAAGTAAGATAACAAGTGGAAAGAAATTAGACCTTCAGATTTAAAAAAAAAAAAAAAAAAAAAAAAGTCCGGAGGCTGTGCTCCGCAGCGGGAGGGGCCAGAACAGTGACAGGCCCGCATAAATTAAAAAAAAAAAAAAAAAAAAAAAAAAACCCTTTCTTCTAGTTCTGTCCTCTTTATTCATCACTTCTCTCCATTCTTACCAAATCCATTTCCTGGGGAAAAACTGGCCATTTGATGAATAGATATACCTTGGTGTGAGGGTACCTCTTGGCTTATTCTGCCCAGGATGTCTACCACTAAGCCATACTTGATTTTAACAGCTTAATTGAAATACAATTTGCATAGCATAAAATTCATCATTTTATTTTTTTAATTTATTTTTATTTTTTTATTATTTGGCCACACTGCGCAGCTTGCAGGATCTTAGTTCCCTGACCAGGGATTGAATCCGGGCCTCAGCAGTGAAAGTACTGAGTCCTAACCACTGGACTGTCAGGGAATTCCCTAAAATTCATCATTTTAATTTTTTTTTTAATTTTTATTGGAGTATAGTTGATTTACAATGTTGTCTTAGTTTCAGGTGTACAGAAAAGTGAATCAGTTATACATATATATATATCCACTCTTTTTTAGATTCTTTTCCCATATAGGCCATTACAGCATATTGAGTAGAGTTCCCTGTGCTACACAGTATGTTCTTATTAGTTATTAATTTTATATATAGTAGTGTATATATGTCAATCTTCCAATTTATCCCTCTCCCCACCTCTTAGCCCCTGGTAACCATACATTTATTTTCTACATCTGTAACTCTATTTCTGTTTTGTAGATAAGTTCATTTGTACTTTTGTTTTTTTTTTAGATTCCACATATAGGCGATATCATATGATATTTATCTTTCTCTGTCTGACTTACTTCACTCAGTATGACAATCTCTAAGTCCATTCATGTTGCAAAATTCATCATTTTAAATGTACAATTCAGTCACTGTAACATCACTGTGGCCATTTCCATCAACCCCAAACTATCCCTCATGCCCATCTGTAGTCAGTCAATCCCTGTTCCCACCTCCAGCACCAGGTAACCACTAAAGTACTTCCTGCATCTATATATTTTATAAAATTTGGACATTTCATATAAATAGGATCATGGTGGGGAGGAAGGCAACTAACATGTGTCCAGTGTGCCAGGTGAAGAAAAATCAAACTTATAAAAGAATTCTCCTCTCTTTTCTCCTAGAATTGTAATGGATTCTATTTTTCATATTTAAATATTTGATCCATTAAAAATTTATCTAAAGTTTCCATTTTTCATTTTTCCAGATGTGATTCGACAGTTTCAATTCCATTGTTTATGTAGACCGTATTTTTTCTGCTGGTTTGAGGTGCTACTGGTATTGAACAGTAAATTCCTATGAGTTTTTGTTTTCAGGTTGTATTACATTCCATTTTATTCTAGTCCATCTATCACTTCATATGCCATCACCACACCTTTAAAATGGTTTTCACATCTGGCCATGCTAGTCTCCACTGTTAGCTCTTTTTTAAAAAAAAAAAAAAAAAACTCACCATTTTTATTTGCCTATTGTTTTCCCAACAAACTTTATGTTTATCTTTGATGGGAAAGAAATGTGTAGCTCCAGCTCAAAATGCAGTACCTAGTAACAGATTGATATGTGCATCTATATGATAGTAAGTTCTTTTGAAAGATAAACTAAAAGAAACAAAAATGTATAAACGGAGTCAAATGACAAACTGGACAATAATATTTGCAACTCATCACAGATAATGGGCTAATCTCCTTAATGTATAAAAAGTTCTTAGAAATAAAAAGACCAACAGCTCAAGAGAAATGGGGAAAATATATGAATAATTCACAGAAAAGGGTGGCTAATAATCCACTGTCCAATAGCCTCACACTCAGTCTTGCTCTGTTTTTTTTTCTTCTTATCTGGAAATGGGCATAACAGTGAGAATAGTAAACAAACTCAACACATTTTGGGGAACACTTCCTTTCCCAAAATTAAAACTGAACTTGGAAGGTTGATACTACAAAAGGGAAAGAAAAAAGGGCAATTTCTGTACTCGAGGGACTCTTAGTAGTTATTGAAGCCCACATACAAAGACCACTAGAGAAACCCACTAATCATATAAAGTATCGTAGTGTCTTAAAATGGGGAATTAGGGAAGAGGAGTTATAGACTGATTTGGGGGCAGTTATTAATCAAGACCTGGGCAGGGACTGATCAGAACTTATAAATAGTTGAATTGCTGAAACAATCAGTGTTCTTATCTTTGGAACACATAGGTCCATGTGGAATTACCAGTAAAGCAGTATTTTTATGGTTTAACCTCAGAACATACTCATCTGAAGGAGCTGGTATTTGAACAACTTGAGTTTTGATGGTTTTGTTGCATGTCATTTTATCTGTTTTGCAAGTTATAGAACAGCATTATGAGTTGTAATTTTTCTGTTTTCATTTCTCATGGTTTATATGGCACTTCAATATTCGCCATAACTAATCCATTAGATATGTACCATAGTATTCATTTTATAGATGGGGAAACATGCACTATGGTTTTAAGTATTTTGTCTAAATTCCCACAGTTATTAAGTGTTAGACTGAGTTTCAGAATCACGTCTGTCTAGCTCCAAAGCCTGGGCTTTGGACGTCTATCTACTCCATATGCCTCTAAATCAAGGATTGTTTACTTGGTGTACATGAACTATCAGGAGGATTCACGACCCCTGCATATCATATGCTAAATTTGGGGTATATGTATATTTGGGGGGAGAAGGATGAGAATGAATACACCCATCTCATTCTCAATGGGTAGGTGAACCAACAAAAGAGGTTAAATGTCTTTGCCCTAGAGAAATTATCTCCCTAAACCTAGGGCAGCTTAATCCCACAATAGAATGGGGAGAGAAATTCTACTTACTTTAAAAGCAAAATGGGCATGGTGACCACTTTCAGAGCCATTACATGGATTGGGTTTCTCATTTGTAGCTTCTCTGGAATTAAAAAAAAGAGCTAAAAGGAAGCAAAGGATGACCTTGGATTGAGAGCCCATAAAAGAGGGAATCCATGGGTTCTATCTAGTCAGTGCAATTGCTTGGGAAAGTCATGCAGTGCATCTGAAAGTCATGGAGTATCTCTGGCTCTCTAAATCATGTCCATTTATCCCAGACAGATCCAAGTAGAAAGTGATTTCGAAAGGATAACCCTATTCTCTCTATGGTTCATGCAAATTTGAAAGAAGAATTAGACTTTCAGCTTCTTCCCAGCAAGATCTCATCTCAGAAGCTTGCCTTTTTAAAGTGGAAAAAAAAAAACATTAATTCATACCATAATACGTAAGTTTGTTTTCTCAAGAACCGGAAAATATGCTTTAACTCATTTGTTCGTGTGACTGTTTTTTCAAGTACAAATAGTGAAGGGGTTTGGAAATTAACAAAAGAAGAGATTATAGCTCATGAAGGAAAAAAAAAAAAAAAAAGCCCTCTCTGAGTTTCTCCCTTACAGCTTGTTGCAAACTATGTTCTCCAAAACGGAGTGAATACAATATCTTGAGGAGAAAGATTATAAGCTAACAGTAACAGGAAAAATCTCCTTACAGACACAAGGATTTAGCAACAGATTCTGAGAAGGGAAGGAGACAAAACAGGCAGCTCACAAGATACAGCCAACTTGAGCTGTCTCTAGTTTGTGGAGCCTGACAATTCCCTCTGTTTTGAAAGCTTCACATCAGGCTTTTTTTTTTTTTTTTTTCCGTATGCTCTTCACTATTGCAGCCAACCTGCAGCTGTTATGCACATTTCAGAAAAAAAACGTTAATTTATAATAATGTATTGTTTGTCACAGAAGAAAAGGGGGAAATTGAACTCTTTCCAGCCATCTGGAGATGGTGAGCAGCTGGTTAAAATCAGGGATTTGACATATTTTATTTTCTAAGTATCTCACCACCTTAACACACCAGCCCAGCCATAGCTGTTTTCCTGGAATGCATGTTGGTGTCTATCATCTAACCTCCCCTATTATTCTTCAGCCATCTGGCTTGAGGTTTGCCCTCTCTCGGAAGTTTTGTGAAACAAGTGTTTGAGAATTCGTGAGAAGAGACTCTATGCCACACTAGGGCAGAGATTCTTCAGTAATCAGACTCTGAAATTAACCATAACCAGACTGCATGCATGCCTAGAGTCAAATATTCATATTATAGGGGAAACACAACAGCAATTTCATGGCTGAAAAAGATTGCCTAGATCAGGCCTTTGACAAAACCATTAAAACTTAAAGGAAACAAACAAACAAAAAGGCAAACACAAATGTGCTTTATATCCCTCTGGATATTTAGCTGGTGAAGGGTCACATCCAGATTATATGCCCCTGAAAAACACTGAAATGGATCTTCATAAGAAGCTCTCTCTGAGAGTCAAAAGATAAACTAGTAACTTCAGAAATGTGTAAATGTGTAACTTCAGTATCAAATGAGAGCATCCTAAATTTTGTCAGTGGAAAGTTACTTAAATTGGACATAGATGTTACCCCAAAACTTTATCATATATAATTAAATCATTAATTTTACTGTAATGTCACTCTCATGTATTTAATTAACATTTCCACTAGCCAAAAAAGGAAAAAAAATAGTGAATCTGGATATAAGAAGTAATGGTCAGCTTGGTTCCTCACCATCAAAATTATTACACTGTTAATCCATAAATTCCAAATGTTCAGAGTTTCAGAGGCATTTCTTCATGGTCATTATGTGCTTCCAGTATTGTTTTGTTGGTTTGTTTGTTTGTTTGTTTGTATATGGCCCACAGAGTTATAGAAGACTATAAATAATTATGAATCATAGCCTCAGAGACCATGATCAACACAAATAAAACCAAATTTTGTATTTCTAAGCAGAATTATTAAACTATCATTCTAAGACTAGCTTACCAACTTCCACCAAGTCTGAAACAAAGTAAAAATGAAATCTCAGTGCATCTCCCAGGACTAAGGTCAAACCAAAAACAGACCAGGCCTAACAAGGCCTGAAACTGAGCTTCAATTAGATTATGATAATTGTCTTGTATTCTAACTGCCTAACAGAAAGATATTAAATCCTCTTTGTAGGATGATAACATTATCCAAGTCCTCTAATATAGTTCATAAGCAATGCCCAGCATTCAATCAAAAATTACTAAGCATGAACAGGAACAAATAACCAAAAATAGACAAGAAAATAAACTCATAAGTGATATTGCTATTATAATATCAGGCAAGGACACTTTAAAAACTTTAATGAATATAATTAAGAAAATAGAGAAATAGATGCAAAAACTTACCAGAAAACTGGAGTCTATTAAAAAGAATCAAAGGAAGTTTCAGAACTGAGAAATTAAGAGCTCAGGAGATGGATTTAACAGCAAAACAGAGAACTAGTGAATTGCAAGATAAATCTGTAGATAAATTAGTTTGGGGCACAGAGAGAGTAAAGATGGAAAATTCAG